AGAGTGAATACAAATTTATATATATATATATTTTATGAACAATATTACATGAGGCGGGGTTGAACCCTGCCCAGGGGAGTGGGGGAATGCATCGGGTGGTCGGAGACCACTCGGCCTAAAGGACCGGATGCAAAGTATATATATATATATAATTTACATGAACACAAATTTTAATTTAACAATTTATTTATAAAAAATTAAAATATTAATAAAAATATGATTTTTCAGAGATATCATTCATAAAGTAAATCTTACAAAATACTCTTCCAAGTAATATATTAGGTAGAAAAAATGACTTCCCCTAATTCTATCCATTTATTTTGACTTGTAAGACTTTATTAGAGATTTAAAATTATATATTTGATTTTTTTTCAATAAATTATATATTTAACCATTGATAATTATTATTCACTAGCTATTCCCCTTCCACTACTATGAAAAAAGTGGCAGTAACACATTGAGCCGTTTACTATGATTTTAGTTTTAAACGTTGACTTTTTATTGTTTTATATATTTAATACTCATTATTATTATATTTAAAAATAAAATTTTATATTTATATTAAACAAAGAAAATCTATATGAAACGGAGAACATATGCAAAAAAAAAAAATACTTACATGTTATTTTACTGAGAAAAGCTATTTTACGCTAATGATGTAGTATGATATTTGGTCAAAAAAATATTTTTCTAGTATTGTATAATAAAAAGTAATTTTTTTTTTATTTTTTTTAGTTACTAATCGCTATGTAGTTTCACACATTCAAGAGTTAAATAACTTGTCACTAACTTTTTAAGGGGAGCACTCTTTAATTTTGATATTCAAATCCTCGATATCACTTTTCCCTGCCCTCATAGGATGTTCCCACATGCTATTATGTAACAAGTGATTTAAATTTGAAATGTTTTATTTATTTTTTAATAGGATTATAATTTTTGAGAGAAGGGAGAATGGGAATTAGAAAAAAGAATTTTTTTTGAATAATTTATAATTTGAGAAAAGGAGGGTTTTTTCAAAGTAGTGGAAATTTTTTCAAGATATTAATAAAGTTTATAATTTTGACTAACAAACTTAAACACTAAAAAATTTAGAACGAATTCAAAAATCATAAAGTTCAAAAGTATAATTCACACCAATGAGGAGTTGTATCAAGTGGTAAGCGGTTTGTTTTAGTTTAACTAAGGTATTGAATTTGAGATATTATGTACGCAGTAGTTTTTATTAGGAGATTCACCCATTATTTTTAGGTGTACAATACGAGTGGATCTGAATTAATCAAGGTGAAACCCAAGATATGGAGCGGGAAAAAAAAAATATAATTCACAAGAAAGATTTCATTAATTCAAAGTCAATGTTATTGAATCGGGGGCCTTGAGGATCTTAAAATATTTTATTTATAAGTAACTAAAGGAGGTTAGAATGAATTAAGCTCTGTTATTACGAAGGAAAAAAAGTTTATTACAAAAAGTCCAACATAAGACATAAAAAATAATACTAGCATACTAAACATTACGTAGTCTTACCGTACTGGCAGGGCGATATCGTAGATATAGTCAACCTTGACTTCCATTACTCTTTAATTCCTCCGAACCTACATCGGCTTGTTTGTCAATGGAGGAGAAGATAGGAATAGAGCAAGAGAGGGTCACGCATTGACTTCCTCTTACACCTCCGAATTACTGCCTCCAATTCTTCCCCACAAGAGGATTTTTGGGGTTTGAAAATGGTTTGAGGGAAGAGATTTTTTGAACTGTTGACTGAGAAAAGGGGGGTTGCTGTATTATTTCAATTTTTTTTTTCTTTAGTGATTAAGGCAAAGTAAGCAGGGAAAGAACCGAGTTGTTTCGCTGAAGCTTTTCATCAAACAGATGGTGATCGACAAGAACACGTCTGTTGTTGCTTCGCCGATCCACTAGAATGCCCAGTTCGCAGAAAACCTCCCCTCCCGCTCTTTCTTCTTCTTCTTCTTCTTCTTCGCCGACGCCGTCTCACCCACTTCACGACGGCGGCAATGCCGGAAAGTGTGCCAACAGCCTGGGCAACTCGTTCTTTCAGAAGCGCCTCACGCGCCAGAGGAAACTCAGGCACGTCAGCGACGATGATCTCGGTTTGCAGTTGAACGACAACTGCCGTTCCAATTCGCCTTCTCCTGATTCCGCGCGGAAGTCGCGCTCCCCGGACGGCTCGGAGCACTGGTCTTATAGGGCCAGCCCCAAGCCTTTGCCGCTGCCTGGATTGGTTGTAGATCGTAAACCCAAGTTGTCAAGTCCACCATATCTCGGATCACTTGATGAAGGATCCTCTGCTATCAGAAGGTAAGCTTGGATTTTGCTTCTTTAATCTAAACTTTCCTATTGGTGCTTCATTCCCACTGTAAAAACAGAGATTTTCAAATTTTGATTTGAAGAAAGTTTCCCTTTTTATCTAACAAAATCATAACTTTATTTTGGGTATTTTTCTGAAACCCAGCAGGAGAAACAACAGTCGTGCCGCTAAAAGACCGGCTAAATCTCCGACCATATTTCAAAGGGTATTTTCTCAGGACCATGTGGGGAATGGCCAACGGTTGAGCTTTCCTGGCCGGAGCGCTCAAACAAATGGTTTCTTAAGTCCTCCGGTTAGCCCTCGGAGATCCAACACCATAGATTTCTTTCCTTCTCACGATGTCACGGATTCGACCAAATCTTTATTCACTCGTCGCCGGGGATTATCTCATGACTTGCATGTTGAGAGCTATAACTACAATTTGAAGTTGGATGTTCCTGCCAGGAGTGCCCCAACAAGTGTTTTCTCAAGTCCTGCTGTTAGCCCAAAATCAAATGCGGCTGATGTTTTTGATTCTCCCTTTTCAGGACATCATGACCTATTTCATGGTTTGAGAGCTAATTTAGGTCTCTCGGAAACAGAAAGGCCTGATGCTCGTAGTTTACCAGTGTCCCCAAAAAGAAATGCAAATACTCCTGAACGTTCTCCACAGCATAGCCCTAATCGTCCAAGTCCCCCCTCGAATGCCAGAAGTCCAAATAGATTTCCATTTCCTCCACCTGCTTATGCTTATCCATTGCCCCTTCCACCAGGAGCCTTGCAACCTTCACAACCACCAACACCCCCAATCCCACATGACAACATTACAGAAAAACTTGTGGCTTCAACATCAATGAAAGGCCAATGGCAGAAAGGAAGGCTTATTGGACGGGGTACATATGGAAGTGTTTATTATGCAACCAACAGGTTTGGAAGTATACTAAAACCCTTTATGGAAGTATTTTATTGTTTATTTTATTTATTTATTTATTTTTGCTGCACTCTACTCACATTTATTTGTTCTTTTGTTTGACAGGACCACTGGAGCTTCATGTGCAATGAAAGAAGTTGATATTATTCCTGATGATCCTAAATCTCTTGAATGTATAAAGCAATTGGAGCAGGTTATTCTTCTGAGTCCTTATAAGTGATCATTTTGGTTATAGCACTGTCTTACAATTAGAAATTTCATTGATGAGTCTCAATACGTGCTATTTGGTTGCTCAATTGCATATGAAAATTGCCCCTTTCCCTCATTACAATTGGATTACTTTGGTTATAGTTGTTTCTTAGTGATTTAATCCTTTGGTGCATTGCAGGAAATTAAAGTTCTACAACATTTAGAGCATCCAAATATTGTGAAGTATTATGGCAGTGAAATTGTAAGCACTTATTTGGTGCATCATACATTTTGCTTAAAATAAAATAGAAAATTGTAAGTTTGTTATTAGGGATGTGTTGTATTCTGCAGGTTGATGACCACTTTTACATCTATTTGGAGCTTGTCCACCCTGGCTCCCTTAACAAATATGTTCGGGAACATTGTGGAGCTATTACAGAGTCCATAGTTCGCAATTTCACCCGCCATATTCTATCTGGGTTGCAATACTTGCACAGTAAAAAGACCATTCACAGGTGACAATCATGCCTGATTACAAGAAATAAAGTGTTATTTTGTATCTCTGCCTTATTAATACTTTACTTTGATATGCAACATTTCAGACCTCTGTAAAATGTAAAATTGCAATTTATTCATTGGCCTTTTTTGAATCATAGAACCAACCCAATCAAATAGTTGAATTAAAAGTTGCATGTCCAACAGAGATTCATTTCTGTTTTTATAATTTGGTTTGTAATGAAAAAATTTAGTGATCTTGGTCTTTATGTTCTATAGGGATATCAAAGGTGCAAACTTGCTAGTTAATGCATCTGGTGTTGTTAAACTTGCTGATTTTGGTATGGCAAAACATGTGAGTTCTAAAATCCTCCTATACACTTCTCACAATGCAGTCCGTTATTCTTTCTCCCAAGAACCAGTCTTTAAATTCTTGAACCTTTTCTGCTTCAGCTTACAGGACTATCATATGAGCTGTCTTTGAAGGGCAGTCCATACTGGATGGCTCCAGAGGTGATTAATGTTAATAAATGTAGTGGATCTTTTTGATGTTTCTTGATAGCTGTTCTTACCTTTACGTAAATTCTTTGTCACTTCCCTGTAGGTCATAAAGGCAGTCATGCAGAAAGATGCCAACCCTGATCTTGCTCTGGCTGTTGACATATGGAGCCTGGGTTGTACCATCATTGAGATGCTTACTAGTAAACCTCCTTGGGCTGAGCTTGAAGGGGTAAGCTCGTTTTAAATTCAGTGTTCTTTACATTGTGATTGGGAGGAATTTTTTCTTCAACTCAGCATTTTCTTTTTCATGGCCATTTTTTTCAGTTTAGATCAGTATTTTCCAAAGCTTTACCTTGGAAAAGAAAAATGTTCCTATAAGCTTCTGTATATGTGCTTGTTCTGACTCAATTATCTAATTAATCTTATCAGCCTTCAGCTATGTTCAAGGTTCTGAATAGAACCCCATCAATACCAGAAACATTGTCTCCAGAGGGGAAGGATTTCCTCCAATTTTGCTTTAGAAGAAATCCTGCAGAACGGCCATCAGCGGCTATGCTACTTGAGCATCCTTTTGTTCGGAATTCTGCCGATCAGAAAGTATCAGCTCTTGCTCAAGCATTTTTGAGTACGAACCAAATAGTAAGCACTATTCACCAATCCTCTGTTAAGCCATCTATTTATTCCAAAACATTTTCTTTCTATTTGGACCTGCAAATGTTATTAGTGCGCACTAATATTATGTAAATGATCATGTAGGATAAATCACATAGTCCGAGAAACTGCAACACACAGAAATCTGATTTGAGGTCTTCCTCAAGCACACAGGTTACAAATGGGAAGTTGCCATGTCATAGGTATATTATATAGATTCACATCCTGTTCTCTACACTTATATTATTCGTTGAACCAAGTTCCACATGGCCGTTCTTTCTTCCATATACATATTTTGCTTATCCTTTTTAATTCTCTTGTTCTCAGTGAGACTCCACAAGTATGTCATGCTGAATCCCCAAATGGTGCTCCAGCTTCTCATTACCCTCGGTGCTCTAGTTCTACTCTCGGAGCTCCCACTGGTCCGTTTGCAAAAAAACTGATCCACAGTTCACACAGCTTCAACCCTTCTTCACTTGCTTCCAGCAAAATGCCTCTTGGCTTTTGAGGACTCGAGGAAAGCAAGTGCAGCATGTCTGAGTCTGAACCACAACTTTGGTTTACGTGAATCTCATTTTAGGACTCCATGACTAGTGTAAATACAGGTTTCCTAGATAGAAATTTAGTTTATGTACCAATAGAATGTTTATTTATAGTGTTAACATATAGAAAATTATTTTTGTTTTTTGTTTTTTTTCACTAAATCTCTCTGTATCGGAAATCACATTGAATTCGGATTAATTCAGAATCAAGTTAGATCGAACTTTTTGAAAAAATTCCCTCAATGTTTGCCTATTCATTCATAAAATTCAAATTTTTATTTAAAAGAAACTTAGCTCTTTTCACTAGATTAATAGGATTTTTTTTTTTTTGGTAAAATAGAGATTAGATTAACATAAAACAAAGGGAAACATCAGCGCGACGTGGGGAAAGCGTACCCCATGAGGTCCAAAATACAAAACAAGTTGATACAGGAGAGACAATGAGAAAACACAGCAAAATCCCGAGTGAGAGCGTGTCCCTACTAGCCATTTGATCACCAGCCATATTGGACTGAAGGACAACATGAATCACCTCCACGTGGGATCTGGTGAAGCAAGTACCTCCTGCGGCAGCAGCACCAGGGTTTCCAAGAACTGAGTCATCTGTGTTAAGTTTGATGAAAGGGTGGGGCGGTCTTGTCCATTTAAAGTGCTCAACCCTTCTAACACGATGGAGAGTGGTGCCCTTGGAAGCCCAAAATTCAGCAGCTTTATCCACGATTAAAGCTTCCACGACAGGTAAAGGAATTTGATTGATAGGTTTTTGGTGATGAAAAATTGTTGGTTGTTGAAGAAAATGGAGAAGAGACGACGATCTCACTCTTGAACAAGACTGATAAAATTTGTAGGATAATTTTTTTTGGCATGTAACTTGTTTGATAATTAAGCCCCATCTTCTTCCATGTAATTCATTTTCCTGAGAAAAATCCTTCCTTTGGATTTGGGTATGGTTCTCCTTCAGAAGAAAGCATCCTCCTTTTAATAAATCATGTTTTCTTTCTTTGGTTAAATATTAATTTTGGCCTCTTAACTTTGTAATTTTACATAATTTTTATTCTTTAACCCTTAAAACTACTTAATTTTGATCATTTTGGCAATTAAACTTATTAGTTTAATGATGTGGGCATGTGGCAATACAATAAGACACGATTCTTAGATCGATAAAAACATCATGCCAGGTTAGATTTTTGCTTACCCATTTCCATTAAAGAACTTTTTGTGTGAACCCCACACATGTTAGATTTTTCAATTCATACATTCTCAAGTGGACCCCATGATTTAGACTTCTAAACTCATGCATCCACCACCCTCTCTACCACTACCCTTTCTATGTGCTCACTTATTATAATTACATTTAATACCTTTTAATTTATTAATTAAATTATAAATCAAATTAATTAATTTACCATTAATTTCAATTTAATTTTAATTATTTATAATTACTTATTATATAAATTTAATTAATCAAAAATAGTATTGCAATTAAATCAATCAATTTTTTCAACATCCAAATACAAATTGAAACAAAATTTTCTCTCTATTTCATATTAAATAAGAGTTGAAGTAAAATTTAACAACAAAAAAAAGGTTGAAATGAAAATTTTTACAATTCTTGAAATCTAGATTATTCGAACCCAAATTTAGATTCTAATGAATCCATATTTCCAATTCAATTTTCTTTTCCTTTTTCATTTCAAATTCTAAAAAATAGAGTTGCAAATTTAAAATTGCTATAGTTCTCCACATTTTGCTGAACCACCATACGCTACTTCCCTCACGGCCATGCCTCTAAGCTTTCTAGAACAATATGTACAAGTGCAAGGTAGAAATGGAGCACAAGGAAACCAACGTGATGCAATCATAGGTCCAAGAACCAACACAAAAACTCAACGCCAAGAACTTAGATCTTGCTTGTATTGGTGACAACTTTGTGATTACACTAACTAATTTTATTCCTATCAACCCATAGATTTGGATTTTGCAAACCCAAATTGCAATGCATAAAAAAAGAAAAAACTCATGAAGATGGAGGAACGAGGTTGGCTTGAGGAAGAAAAGAAGGAAAGGTTCATGAACACGAACTCAAATCTGGATTCATGAACCCAGATTTGGGTTCACGAACATGAACTCAAAAAAGTTTAGAAAAAGGATGAGAGGGGAGAGGAAGAGAAGTAGGCACCAAAAAAAAAAAAAAAAGGGTAAAAGGGAGGAAAAGGTTGGTAGGAAAAAGGAAGAGAGGGAGAAGTCGATGGAGTTGATGAAGATAAACAAAGGGGAGAAATGGGAATTGCTGAATCACGAATAAAATGGGTAAAAGGGGCATTTATGTGATATTAAAAAAGTAATAAATATAATTATAATAGGCGGACTCAATAAAAATATTAATAGATGCCTTGATAACCTTTTTATTTTATGGTATGATGTGTAATTAAATGTCATCAATCAATTTAAGGAATATGTCATCTGGAATATTTTATCTGCTACTGTGTCACTTATTTGAAAGAAAGATCAAAATTGTGCAGTTTCGGAAGTTAAGGGATCAAAAATGAGAAAAAAAATAGTTAAAGGACGAAAATTGTACAAAGTCATAAAGTTGAGGGACCAAAATTGGCATTTAACCTTCTTCTTTCTCACGAGCGCTTTTCCGATTCGGGTAAGTTCATCGTGGATCCTGGATGCGGGTTTAACACGGGTTCGTACTTGGCGGGAAACCCCTCTCCGCTCGCCGTCGAAGTGTCAAGTGGCTACCGTCATTATAAAAAAACCTAGAACCCTTTAAAACACAGAACGTCATTTCTAAATTCTAATGAATTAACTTCAGAAAAATTCCCAATCCGACATAAAGCTTGTGCTTTTTGGCAAGAAAGCTATACCCAAATGGAAGACGCGAAGGTCCTCACAATCTCGGAGCTAATCCGCCGTTCTTGCCCCCACACCGCCACCTCTTCTCAAAGCCGTTCGCTTAAACTCTCGTCTTCCAGTTCCGACCGAAGCTCACCTGCTGGTACTGTTGATTCGAACCCTAACCCTAAAATCCTAACACCGTTGGAACACCCAGCCCTTCTTATAGGAACCGTAACACTCCCAACCGTAGCCTTAAAATGCCCCAACAAAAGCTGCCTCCAGTTCTCCGATGATTTATCCTCGGTATGCTGTGACATTCTCGGTCGTGATTTCCGGGTGATCGGAACGAAAATTCGCGTTCTTGCTTGGAATTTCATTCCTTTAAAGCATTTTGGAGGTGGGTTCTTGGAGATTATAGAATGGGCATTGCTGGAATCAAGTGGTGGAACCTATCCTTGTTCGAGCTTAATGGATTCCTTTCCGTTGGTTTCGAGTTCTAGTGAATGCAAAACACAGAATTTGAAGTCCCGTTATAGAGTTCATGGTGCACTAGAATCATTAAGTCCTGTTTCAGTTGTTCCATGTTCAGATAAAAGTTCTGATTCCAGCAGCTCAACAAATCTTCGGGGTTTTCTAGTGAAGGTTTTGGCTTGTGAGTGTAAATTGTGTCGTTCTGAAGAGTGTGTGACGGTTTTGAACAGAAGGCTGGATTGCCATTTTTTTTCCAAGCCTGTGTTTGTATATTTTTGTGGCCCTGCTTGGTGTTGGTATCCTGTGATCGTGAAGCTTATTGGTAACGTTGTAACACTTTCATCTTTGAAGAAGAAGTTGATTTTCATAGGGGGGAAGGAGTCTGAACTAATGTTTGTAACTGCGGAAGAATCTGTTTTAAATCTTCCTAGAATGATTAATAAATCAGTACCTCTTGCAAGAAATGTTGTTAAGGGAAATGGTGAGTGCGGTGCATACACTGGTGTTGTAAATGGTGTGTATATGCAAGGAATGGTTGTTGAGCTGGATAAAGAAGTATGGCTATTGCTAACAGATCAGCAGCTTACTCCACCGCATGCTCTCAGAGTGGGTGCTGTTGTAAGTAAAATTCAATTTATTGCGTGCAGTTATTATTCTTATTATTATTAATGAGTGAATTTGTAAATGTTTTGTGTGTTTCTTATTGGCAGATATCTGTAAGAAATGTCCATTTCGTGAATCCAAAATTTTCTTGGACAAAAATGCTCATTCTTGGTTCTTGTTTCAAGACCAGCATTATGGTAGAATCCTTCTCACCATTAGAAACTGGGTATGGAAAATTTAATCTATTATCACTTAATATTGTAACTATGAGTGAATGTCACATTTCTTTCTGCATTTTGATTGTGAATGGACCCATTTGTGTTTTATTCTGTACTTCTTCAAAGCTGTAAAGGTATCCAATGTCTGGAATACATGCCAGCATGCCCAACATAAGTGAAAACTAATCCAATGTTGCTGCAGGTGTCTTACAGTGTCACAATCTCAGAGCCTGTTGGGGAAGTTCATCGAGTCCTTGGTATTTTCTACTAGACTGTGGTATGGATGTTGATTATTTTTCCATCCTAGTGGATATTTCTGATTCTATAGAATGATTGAAGATTTTGTGGTTCCTTGTGGATTAAATTGATGGAATGTTTGGGTTTCAGGGCACTACTCATTATTTCATGTTTCCGGAAAATGTTTTCTGGAATATTATCCGAAAAGGAGATTTTGGGATCAAAACATGTAATTCCATTTCTTATCCTTTTTCTATTACACTTGACTCGATTGGGATTTTCTTATTTCAAGTCTATTTGCTGTATAGAACAATCATTATGTAATTTCTTGCTGAACTGGTATCAATGGCTGCAAGGTGTTGCCAGAATGTGGGACTAGTTCAAAAGTATTCTAGCTTACATTTGCCTTCTTCCATGTTTCAAGCTCGGGTAAATTTGTATTTGATAAGTGAATCTGACTCTATTCAATTGGTTTTGTTGTAGTCTTCTATAATTGTCATCTTTTATTATCTTCTTCTGCCAGAATGGAGTGTTCAGGGAATTTTATAAACATGAATCATCTAGCTGTCAAAGTGAACCAAATGCTGGTAATCTAAAACCGGTAGGTCTAGGACATCTGATTAGAATCTTGTGCTGGTTTGAGTGTCTCTGAATATTTGATGATTAATTCTTGTGGTTATCTTTTAGGTGGTACCTATCTCTACTTTCATCCATCACTGTGAGGCCATGTGGGTAAAGGCACTTTTACAATCAGAAGACACCTCTCCTGTGTTATGCCATGGGGAATCTTATAAACGGTTAAAAAGGATAACTTTTCAAAGTGAAGACATCAGTATTACTTTGGTAGGAAGTTTAAAGGTTAGTATTTAACTTGTGTTTACTCAGACAAGCAAGCTTTCATGATTATAAACTTTTGACAGCCTCAATGAACTATGGATTTTTTTGTTGATCTTAGCATGTTTTTCATCAAAATGCTGCAGGTTTCTCCATCCACTGGAAGGCTGCAGTTGGCTGATGTGACTGGCAGCATTGATGTTATTATACCAGACCTTCCATCAGCTTGGAATCCAAATAGCATATTTGAGGTCATATGTTTTGATTCATCTGCATACTTTTCACCATCTTGCCTTTGGTTGTATGGGATTCAATATAAGTTGTTGTTCATCTTTCGGAAAAATTTTCTTAGTTTCTGTAATGAAATCAGCCTAATTTTTGTTGTTTTTCAGATAGTTGACTATGGTCTTATTGTGGAAGGCATACCTGAACCAGTCAATAGTTCCAAGTTAAATCAGAACAAGTCATTCTCGTGCAGAAGCATCTTTCATTACCTCCCATTGGCAAGAGGAAGAAACCTAGCAATTTTTCTGTACTTCCACCTAAGTAATGCAACCAGCAGAAATCTTCCTTTTTATCCTTCTGTGGATTGTAAGGCTAATCTCAAAGAAATTGAAAAGGGAACATTTCATCTAATCTGGATTACCCATAAATTTCCTCTGCTGCAAAAGGTATAAGTGTTCATACATATTTGCTCTAATTAGAAAAGCAGCTCCGAATAACATTCTTCTTGTCTGGAGGCAGTATCCACAATTACTTAAGTAGCAATTTGGTCTTATTACATTTCTAATTACAAAACTTTATGTTTATTTTAACAGTTTAAAGGTGATCTGGCAATATCAAAAAGGTCTAGTATGTTTGTTGAGGCTATAGTCTTACCATGGTATTTGTTTCTTGATGGGAAAGAGAAAAATATATATCCAAATAAGGTTTCAAGGGATGAACTAAATTCTGTCAGTGAAAACTGCCAGTCACGTCATAAGAGGCGTAAAATTGACCATGCGTCGAGCAGGGTACTGGATCCAAGTTTGACAGATAATTTTGGAGGTACTGGCAGTAAAATGAGAAACTGTACTTATGAAGAAGCTGGTGAGGAGAAGAGATGTCTGGGCTTAAGTTTTTCTGATGAAATTCCATGTGTAGCTACCATAAGAGGTGTTAAAGATTACAGCTTAGTTTGTTCAGGGATATTGTATTGCACTAAGGCCAATGTAAAAATTGATGTTAATTGCAACTCAAATGTCAAGGTCCTGCTGGAACTCAATGATGAAAGTTCTTTCAACTATCAGGTATTTGGATTTAAATTTTCCCTTATTATTTACTTGATGGATGTTGAATGGTCTTCTATGGTCATTATGCTTGCAAAAGCAGATGAATTATATTAATTTTCATTTAATTTGCAGTTGTTGCAGATTGGTGGGTATTACATGATTAAGCACAATATAGAAGACCCTTTCTGTAATGTTAAGGACTCTGATCATATCACTGGTGTCAAAATTATTATGACTTCTACAACACCCATATGGAGCATTTCATTCTCCTCTGAAGTTCCTCCCAATGATAAATCAATTCTTGATCCTTCATTTCAAGATTCTCCGCTCAGCAATGACTTTGTTCTGCCAAGAGATCAAACTGAACTTCTCCTGAAGGCCAGTGGTGATTCTTCTATACCTTTTTCAGATGTTTGTCTTTGTGTCTCCACAGATGTCATAGGCCATCTGAAGGAACTGGAAGAGAGCCTTATTAGACCAGCTACAAGCCTAGAAGAGACTTCTAAACTTTCTACTTGCAGCTGTACCATGGCAACTGCATCTTTGCTTTCTTCTGGTCCTGATTCTAATTGCCTCTTTTCTGGGGGAAACTTAATATCCATGTGTGGAGATGTCATTGCTGTTCACACTTTTGACGAAGGTACAGCAGATACGTATTTAAGCACTGAAGGTTCTGGTGATCTTTCACACTTCAGATTTTCCCACAAAAGCAGCACTTACTGTATTCATGTTTCAATGGCCCATCAAACTGTAAATGCCTATCACACTCCATATTTCTTCTGTTTTTATTTTTATTATTTGGACCAACATTGCAATTGTTATTTTTTAGGTGAGGATTTCTGGATCTCTGGGCAAAAGTAGATATCCTACTGGATTTGGACCAGGCATAACTGCAACTTTTCATAGGATTATTGAAATGGGGTATGAGTTCTTGAAAACCATATTTAATTTGCTGTTTGTATTTTGAAGTTTTAACTCTTCTATATCAAACTTTGCTGTACTATGTGAATCTTATTTGACATTATATTATGATATATAAAAAATGCTGTTTCTTCTATTTTCCAGGGCTCCAGATAAATTAATGTTAACCCCAGTATCATTTATTGAGATAAACTCAATGAGGGTGTGCAGTGAACCATATAGTAAAATTTGTTCAAACTTGTGGTCAACAGATATGTACAATGTTGCCACTGAGAACTTAGTTTCTTCTGGTTTAATTTGTCAATTGATTCAGCACTCAGGTGGAAATCAAAAGCATTTACGCTGCAGAGTAAGCATTAAATTTCTTATAAAGCTGATTAAATTTTCTCTCCAGGCACTTCACTTTCAGTGATGATTTTTATTTGATGGCTATTATGACAGGTTGTTGCTGTACACATCCTGGTTCTGGAGAAGATGAATGGAAAGTATAATGAATTACAGTCAAGAACTCATTCCAGGCCCCTTCATGTTAACATTCCAATTGCTGGTTTTGTTTTGGGTTGGTTGCCATACTCCATCTTATGATTTTTTTTTTCTCCAAAGGGAAGCTGTCTACCAATCTTGAGTCCTCTGTCTCCAGGAGATTTGACCTACGTTTGCTAGTCTAGGTTACCTTGTTTTGTTCTATTTTAGTCATCCATGGGTTTTGATTTATTATTTGTCTCCTGTGCATGTGAAGATGATGGGTCCTGCTGTTGTCGTTGCTGGGCTAATGCTGCAAGAGCAGCTACCTTGCTAAGACTACATGAAGAACTGCCTGAGATTGCTCTCGAAAACATTGGCTACAAAGCAAAGCCTTCCCAATGCAACAATTCCTGGTCCTCTTCCATGTATCAGCTTGAAAGAATTTTGCAGAAGCATGGCAGGATTACAGTGAGGAACTATGGTTCAATGGTTGATTATTCTTATCAAGATCTTGTCATTTCTGCTAGTTCAGATGATGCTCTAACGTGTTCAGATGAGAACCTCCTCAAATTCATGATACTTAATGCATGCTGTAGTACAGTTTGGGTGAGTTTATAGGCAATCTATGATAAATTTACAAACTGAATTATATTTCTGGACTGAGAGATATACAGACCATCATTGCATTTATTAATTTTTTTGAATGGAAAGAGCATATTTGTTCTTTTTGTTTTTCTGTTTTATTCTGGATGCTACTGCTGATTGAATCAAGTAATGTTTCCTTTTGACAGACTGTTGTTGGTGGTCTGATGGATCCTGGTGCGGTCAGCTTCCTGGAGAAAGAACTTCAAGTAGAAAAGGATATGACAATGCCTTCCATGCCAAATATATATGCTAGAGAAGTTTGTGACGTAAATTCTCTTTCTGAGGCCAGGGACATTATTCGAGAGCTTATATAACAGGTTAAGTGCTCAGGCCATCAATTGCTTGTTAGATTTGACAAAATATTTTTGTTCCATCAACATACTACAAACAATAATAATACATAATACCAAATCCAAATCGGTGGAAATGCCAAAAGCAGTACCACTTGTTGTCTTTATGTATGTCATCTGTTAACTCAAGAGACACTCTGATTTCGTCCATATCTATTGTCCTATTACATGGTAAAAAAATAGCAAAGTTGGGTTATTACCTTTCTGGTCGCTTTCTCCCTTTTGTGATTTTATGTAACATAAGAACTTGTACGTTGCTTAAATTGCATGTGGCTCATCACCTTTCTCTTATACCTCAACTGAATTTCCCTGTCTTTAAATATGTCAACACTTGAAGCATTCTTTGCATTGCTAGCATCCTTCTACAACAGATGACAGAGATGCCATATTTTCTGGAGAAAATATATAAGATTGAGACGAACTTTAAGGAGTCTATGATAATATCCTCTTACGATTCATCCTGGACCAGAACAATTACCAGCATTCATGGTCATTTACATTATTCTCGGATCATAATACTACTCACAATTGTTTGGTATCTGCTTTTATATTGATTTTTCACTTAGCTGGCAGGGTTTTCAGAAGTAATGTCATCTGGGTGTTATCCTGGAGTAGGCAGGGTAAATGTTTATGAACGTGGTAAGGTTTTAAATGTGTTATGAATACAGCTTTTTATGAGACCTTTGACTGCTTGTCTGCTTATATATTACTTCTCTTAACAGACCTCAACAACCGTGGTTGTGAGCATACAAAGTACCCTACACGAATTCTGTAAGCCTACTGAAAAAACAGCTACTGTCTGCATTTTTCTAACTTCTTTCAGAATCACAAGGCCACTGCAAAAATGCAAATCCATCTTTTCCTTTGGATGAATCAGCAAACATGAACCGATGTATCCTGTATAAATATACATCAGGATAGGTGAGATTTGAAGAGATGGAGGAATTGAGATTAGAAACTTTCCATGTCACAGGCTCAGAGCTACACCTAGTTAGATACATAACAAAATAATAATAATTTAGCAACTTGATAACAATTGTGTAGTCTATCAGTCATATGATCTCTGTCCTTGATGATAAGAGACTCGTTTAACTTGAATTTACATGCTATTAGAGATTTTTAAATCGAGAAAACTTAAGATGAAATTTTTTTTTGGGGGGGGGGGGGGGGGGGAACCCTTATTAAAATCATTATTTTACTGAAATTTTTGAAATTTGAATAATATAATGTTTTTAATATAAGACTTAAAAAAAAAAAGAATCATTTAACATAAAAAAGGTTAATGGTCTAGTAGAGAAAGTCTTTCCTTAATATATATTTCATCTAAATATTTGTAGTTGTCCTAATCTTTTAGTTTTATATAAACTAACTTAAAAATTTTATGTAGCAAATGACTGAATATTAAATTTTTTTTTAATTTAAATGAAAATGCACAATAAAAACCATATATAGAAAAAAGTTAATAATTATTTAATTAAACTTTATTTAAAAATCAAATTATGACAATTAAATCTGACAAAATGAGTAAAAGTTTAGGCTTGAGTTTTCACATTGCTTTATTTAAATATTATATTAAAATTAAAAAAAAAATGAACCGGGTGGTCCTAATTTAAACCGATTCAAGAGCAGTTCAAGACCGACTTTTTTCCATTTTTTCTTTTTTTCTGCCGAGACTGGCTCGGTACCAACCGAGATGGTCCCGGGGCTGGTTCGCTCGATAAAAACCATTAGCCATGAGTTAAGAGTACATTGTTAAGGTTTTTCCTAGTTCCTTGTAGCAGGTACCACCAGAAAAGCACTGCAAATCTGTGAACATCTTTGAAAAGTGCTGCCCTGAGAAAGGTTTTGGACTTTCTAACTTAACCGTAGATTAGATTCCCACGAGCTGTTCTAAGGTCTGAAGTCTTTTGCCCCTTTCTTTTCGTCCTTTTACCCTTTCCTTGGGTTCTCCCACTAAATAATATACCCACCGCCACATCCTCCAACACTTTGTCACTGTTTCTTCATTTGAATTCTTTCCACCTTATTACGGCCAAAGGAAATCCCAGAAAGTTCATCAATATTTAACCTTTTGCACGTACCCAGACACAAATACACTTTTCTTTCTTTTTTTTTTTTTATGGGTACTTCTTCTTCCTCAAGAATCTCTCTTTTTTACTTCTTCCCATTTTCATTTTACCCTGTCAAAGATCATTGCGTGGGGAAATAGTAATGCATGAAGTCTTGTGTTCTGTGTCGTGAGTCTCTCCATTTGGACGGGAAATTAGAAGGGTGAGTGTTGTTCTGCTCTCTGTGTTGGTGATAAAATGTCAATGCCGTTGGTTCAGCCACCGCCGCCTCCAGTCATGGTGGTGCAGCAGCCTGACATTTCTCACTCTGGTCATGCTTCAATTGGTCCGGTTATTGCTGTGCTCGTGGTGATTGTAATCTTGGGCATTGTAGCTGGGATGATTGGGCGGTTGTGCACGGGTAGGAGAGTCATGGGGTATGGGCATTATGATATTGAGAGTTGGATAGAAACCAAATGCTCTTCTTGCATCGATGGTGGGATCCATCCGCCTCCGGCGAGGGCGGCTGATGTTGCTTCTGGTGGTAGTTCCGTTCAGGCATCCACACCACCGCAAGCGCAGCAAGAGGCCAAACAAGAAGGGCAATCTCCTCAATCCACAGCTTCTCAAGTGTTTGATTCTTGAAATGGGTTTTTTGCACTCGACAGCATTCTTTGCAGCCAAGTGTTTCATTCTGGATAGAAGTAGCGCTAGATTGCTATGTCCTTTTGGTAGCCATTGTTAGCCACCCTTTCGTGGTTTATGACCTTGCATTGTCTCCTTTTTTGTATCTGAATCTGAATGTTGATTTCATAGTAAGTTTTATCTAAAATCTTCTAATTAATTACTTGGACCACCGATTCAGAACTGGTTTTAGTTTATACAAGGGATGAGACTGCTGTTTTACAATTCAGATAGGCAAAAACAATGCCAGTCCAAACTCAAATTGACCAAAAAATACCATTTCTTCAATGCACCCAAACTCAAGGTATTAAGGGCATTTTGTAGAGTACTTAATTTGATCGATCTTTGAATTTGAGGCTCTCACAGAATAAAGATAATTATTCCTTTCTGTGGCAAGCCTTTATTATTCCACTGTTGTCTCTGTACCGGTAGAGTCTACGGCAAAGAAGGAAAAGGCTAATACTCTAATTGGAAAGCTTGGCTCTGAATTGCTTGGGGAATTATGGCCAAAAAGAAAAAGAAAAAGAAAAAAACTTGGGGAATGGATGGTTCAACACTTCAATGGAGAATGGAAACTAAAATCTCACCAGCAGCAAGAGAAAAATCAGCCCATGAACTGACTGTAAAATAGTCTTTAAAAATATGTTTTCTCAGGATCACTCCAACAACCAACTTTGCTGCATATCTGTGTTCGGTTGGTTGATGACAACTCTAGTTTAGGCAATTTCACAAATGAAGCAGTCGTTCACCCTTGAGGAGATGAGAGCGAGCTGCCGTCTGATGTAGGTCGCTTTAGTTTGAGAAGGTGAGAGAGACCGGCCACTACATGTAGCCTACTGCTTGGAATACCAGTCTTTGCGAGTGCTCTCCCATTTTTGTCCAACAGCACAAAACAAGGAACATATTTGATATCGTAATTGAGAAGCTGCATCACAGTAATGAACATAATGAATCGAGATCATACAAATTCAAACATTCAATTTTGTAAGTTGTTTTTCATGAACTTTTAATCTAACTAATTCCTGTTAGTATTCTACATAAAACTACCAGTAAGTATAGAGCCTCAAGAAGAAGTAGTAAAAAGAGTAATGCTCGTAACTAGAAGCCTGATAGCAACTGTTAAGTTCATTGCAACAAAATCAGTAAGCAAGCAAGTCATAGATGAATCATGAAACCACATAGAGAAAGTCTCTCCTAGAGACAGAAGAGCTTGACATGCAGAATGAAACCACCAATGGAGCTTGTCTATAATTCTTAAGCATGCAGATGTGATATCTAACAAGTGACCAACATACTGCTTATAAATCAATACAACCCTTGAATTCAAGTATAGACTATAGAATACTCCTGAATCTAACTGTTCAAATGTATCTAAAAATTATAGATAAAGGAAAAATAACCGGATTCTTCAATTTCCATAATTTGTCTAGAAAGTAACAAAACAAATAGAAGCAACCGACAAGTAATTTAGCGTTTCATTCTCGTTTATTAACACAGTAAGGATTATGGGGAGATGTACCTCAGGCAGCCATTGCTCATTCTCTGCGTCTGCCAAGACAATGTTAAGCCAGTCTGAGTTCCTACTCTCTACCTCCAATACAAACCGAAGCAAGGAATTGCATAGACTACACTTGGGAGAGTAAAACTCAATCACTGTGGACTCCTTCCCACTAGCCAGTGCCGACGCAAAAGCCCTATGCTCTGCCTCTCCCTGCTCTTTAGGAGTCAATACCTTTCTTTTCGACTTCAAGTCACCGTTTTGGCCGGCCCCCATGGTAAATTGTTGAATGTCAAACTTAGGAAACCATGAACCCGAGGATTTCGACATGGAGTTTACTGAATTGAGAGCTAATGATCCAAGGTTTTGCAAGGATTTGAATAGCCAAGGACCCTCGAAGCTACAAGGGCTAGGACTTGTAGCGTCTTTATTGACATCCCACGGCCATTTCAGGCAAAACATCTGCTGTTTAGGGACGGTACTCATCTTCTTTCCTAACTACCAACCCCAGTATACAACAGAGCGCACTTTGAACCCCAAACACTTCTTCAACTTGATGAAACAAAAAACAAACTTGGGCGTTAATATGATTCACTATTTCTATCCCAAAAAAAAAAAATACCAACACTGAAATATGGATTGTGGGTTTAGGGTTCAAAAACCCACAAAACAAAATCACTTAATTTATGTCTCCAGAAATTCAAGGAAATTACTAACCACTATAAATATAAACAAATTGAGAGAAGATAACATGGCAACAGATTAATTTAATATATACTTACCTCCATACACTTCCAGGAACACGGAACTTTGTCCTCTGCAGCAGAGAGTGTGAGGGTTAAGGGGAAAGCTGAATGGGAGACGAAACGACGTCGTATGGTACAGAGTTGAGGTGATGTGTTGGGCTTTGTTCTAGTGGATCCATTAGGTCCAGATCATTTTTTGGGCGTTGTGATCCAACCGAAGAAACTGACGAAATATCCAGTCTTCTCTTCTGGAAACTGGAAGGTCGGTCTCTTCCTGACGCAGAGTTGCAAGCAAGGAAGAAAATACGCCG